GTGTGTGTGTGTGTGTGTGTGTGTGTGTGTGTGTGTGTGTGTGTGTGCGCGCGCGCATGCCTTTTCCCCATCTCTAGCTCCTAGTTCGAGGTGCATGTGGCCGTGTGTGTCCCCCTTTCCCCATCTCTTGCTCCCGGGGCGGGTGTGCTGCAGGAGAGTGGGGGGGAGTCTGGGGAGAATACACTTTTATTCAAACTTGTGTCTTCTCTCCCAGACGTGGCCCGGAGGGCTTATTATCACTAAGGCAGGATCCCCACCACTCCCCACCTCCCCAGCCTTCCCCAAGCCTGGCTCCAAGTGACGAGTGGAGCTGGCAGGAGAAGGGAGACGCACCTGAGAGCGGCCCGAGGCGAAGGCGGGCTCAGCGCGCGCCCAGCTCCGGTCCAGCGAGGAGTCCTCCCGCCGCGGTCAGCCGCCGGCCGGCCGGGCTGTGTCTCCCACGGGCACACAGCACACACATGCTCACTCCAGGGCAGAGAGGAAGCAGCCCGGCGTCATATGCCCGAGCACCGGGGATCAGCGTCTGCGCCTCGGGAGAGGGCTGTCCCAGATTCATTTTCCCCTCCGCCCACCTAACCTCCCTCCCACACTCGGTCCAAACACCCAGAGATAGATGGAGTCAGACCAGACCCACGGGAACACAGCCCTCCGGCCACCGAGCATCCTAGGATGTCGCAATCTACAGCTTTACAAAGGACATCCAAAGTGTTACAAAGGACCTGAAAAGTGATTTAGGCCAGTTCGGGAATCATGCAAATGGAGCTCCAGGGACATACACAATCACCACCCTCCTCCAGGTAGGGGTGACATGCAGGCACACACACACACACACACACAGCCCTTCACAAGCCTGGGGGCCCCCACGCACTCGGACCACACACTCTGACATCTACCCCATATGCTTCCTTCCAAACTCTTGAGGGCCTGCGCGTGTCAGGCAGCTCTGATCTAGTGTTCCTGCCTCATTGGTGCCCCTCGACTCAGATTGCAGGGTGGAGTAATTAGCAGAAAACGGGGGTGGGGGGTGGGGGGGTGGGTGTGGGGACAGATGGGAAACTAGGTCACTAAGAAAAAGGCTAATAAAAGGAGGCTACAGACTCTTAGTATCCCACACCTGGAAGAAACCTTCGAGGCTGTTTAGTTTAATCATTCATTTAGGGTAAAACGCACTCCTTTTGAAGTCAAGGGACTTGGGTTCAAATCCCCGCTGGCCTATATCCTAGCTATGTGACCTTAGCAGGTCTCTCCCCCTCTCCTGGCCTCTTGCTTCTCCCTCTAGAAAAGATGAGGCTGATTTGACTAAATCATATCTATGGTCCTTTCCATTTCTAAATTCAGCGATTTTACAGATAAGGAAACAGGACAAAGACAGAGGAAATTATTAATCCCTTTCACTTTTGATTCTTTTGTTCAGCCTTGCAAGAGTAGTGTTGTCCTTTCACTTGGACCACTAAAATTAATCTCTGAAAGGGGATGGATTTAAGAGGAAAAGAGTTTTTGTAATTACCAGCAGAGTATGGTATGGTTGGGCTGGGGTGGTTAGGGATTCCCCCCCTCTTCTATTGAACAAGTGCCAGGGAGAAAACACATTTCCAGTAGTTTCATCCCCAAACCCTGGCTCAGCACCTGTTAATGAGTTTTCCTTGTTCTTGTTCTGAGATCTCAAAACCTCCTTTTGACATCTTTGCAATAGACAGTGCCTGGATGAAAATGTCATACTATTAAAATATGGGTGTGCTTAAAAAAGAAACCCCAAATTGCAGAAGCCAAATCTGTCTCTCACAGGTTACACAAAGCAAAGAGGACAGTGGTGCTTGTAAGGTTAGCTTTCTACGGCTACACCCTCAGTTCTGACGTTGATGAGGCACAACGTTAACACGCTGGAACTTGGTACCTGCTGCCTCCCTCCACCACCACCACACTCCACTCTCCCACAGGTCCAGACTCTCTTTGCAGAGGCCCGGACATGTTTAAGACTGTCCCGTCAGCTAGAGATTCCAAAAGCCATCTCATCTTGATGGGTCAATAAATTTCACCCTTCAGAGACTTGGACTGGATTTATCCTGCGGCAGCTGCAGACAGAACAGGAATTTATCCTTCTGAAGCAATTCCTCAGCTTGTCAGACCCACCCTCTACTTAAGAACATTAGGTCTGAGGGCCAAGACAAAAGAATGCCATTGTCTTGCAGATTGGTGCCTGAAAAAAAACAATGAACCTGAACCCTGAGTCTGAGGGCTGTAGTTTAAGAGCTGCAAGCTAGGTTCAAATCCCAGCTGGGCTGTTTGTTTACTGGATGACCTCAAGTACAATCCTCAATTTATAGATTAGAAAACTGAGGTCCAGAGGTTAAGAGACTTGCCCCAAGTCACACAGGTGGGGCAAAGCTGGGATCAGAACACAGGTCCCATGACTGGACACACATTGTTCTTTCTAGGGATAATATTTGTGAAGTTCATTGTGAACCTTAAAGCACTAGCTATTATTGTTTACTACTACTACTACTACTACTTACTACTACTGCTACTTACTACTACTACTACTTACTACTACTACTACTTACTACTACTACTACTACCACCACCACCACCGCCTCCGCCGCCGCCGCCGCCAGTGGATAGAGTGTATAGAAGTGGATAGAACACCTGGCCTGCAGTCAGGAGGACCTGAGTTTAGCGTCTGAGCCTAAGATACTTATTAGCTATGTGACTCTGGGCAAGTCACATAACCCTGTTTGCTTCAGTTTCTTCATCTGTAAAATGAGTTGGAGAAAGAAATGGCCAACCACTCCAGTATCTTTGCCAAGAAATACCCACAAGGGGGTCACCAAGAGTCAGACATGACTGAAATGACTGAACAACACTATTACACCAGTCTTTGAGGATGCAGTCTAAATTCCATCATTAGTAAGCCTATATGATTCAGGATGAATAATGTCATTTTTCTACCTGTAAAATGATGTCTAAGGTGCTTCCCATGTCCGAATCCTATGTCCTACGACAAAGCCAGTTTGGGGTTATGATGTGAAAAACTCATTAACCAATGACGTGGTATCAAAACATCCATAGGCCAGGACAGGGCAGGTAGGCTTTTTTTTTGTTTTTAAGTTAGCCTAAGTGCAATTTTCATTGTCAGTAAGTACATCCCCAGATCTCTGGGGGTTCATAGAGTAGTAAGTTACTATCACAATTTATACAGAAACGTTAAGACAATTTTGAACTATAAATGACAACTCTGATCAGACCAATAAATAATCAGGATTCCAGGGGACTGATAATGACTGATTCTGCCCACGTCCTGTCCGAGGAGGGAGAGACAGACAGGATGCAGAATGAGACAGATGTTTTGTTTTGCTTGACTACCCACATTTATTAGAAGGGTTTTGTTTCTCATTTGCTTTCAAAACAAAAGGAGGAGACAGAATGAAGAGAAAACAATGCTTCTTAATTGAAAAAGTCCTTCTAGAAGGTTAAAAAATCACTACCACACACTAACATTTTACATTTCTATAGACTTTACAGTTACAAAGTTCTTTCATGATCTTTTTTGATCCTCAGATCAACTTCTAGGAGGTAGGATGAGTCTTACCCATTTTGTGGGTGATGACTTGGCAGCTATGGGGTGTGGTAGAATGTTAGAGTCAGAGCCAGAAAGACCCAAAATCCGGCCTCAGACACTTACCAGCTGTGTGGTCCTGAGCAAGTCACTTGACCTCTAGGGCCTGAGTTGTCTGAGAATCAAATGAGATAATATAGGTAAAATGCTTTGTAAACCCTATTGTGCCATATAAATATTAGCTAATTATTATGAGGGTAAATGGCTTGCCTAGACTCAGAGTTAGTGGAAGACCCAGGACAAAAGCCCAGGCAGGTCTCCTGATTCCCATTCTGGTGGTGCCTTTTTCCAATATTGGCCCTCTCCTCACCCCTACACGAGGGCAGCTAATTGGTATAGTGGATAAAGCACCAGGCCTGGGAGTCAGGACTTCAGTTCCAATCTGACCTCAGACACTTACTAGCTGTGTGACCCTGGGCAAGCCACTTAACCCTGTTTGCCTCAATTTTCCTCTTCTGGAAAATGAGCTGGAGAAGGCAATGGCAAACCACTCTGGTATTCTTGCCAAGAAAACCCCAAACAGGGTCACAACTGAAAAGATGGAACCACCACCATCACCACCCCAACACGTTTCCTGAGGAGGTCTTTGGAGATTAGATTATTCTCCACAATTCCAGGGTCTGATAAGATTAAGGGAAATGACAAGATAAACACCACATATTTATTTCCACTCCCACTCAGATCATCCGTGTGCTTTCCAATAAACCATGAGTAATAGGTGACTCTCCAAGCCAGGAAACTCTGAAGCCGACAGAATCAGCCCTGCACTCCCGTTCAGGTGAAGTTCAAACAAACACGTCTGGAGGACTGGAAAGTGGTGTGCGCTCACCTCTGGGATGGGCCAGACCTTCTGCCCTGGAAGAGAGTCTAGGCTTCCGTCAGTGGAGAACCCACTGGGGCATAATGAGGCTGGGGCAGGAGGAGGGGAGGGCAACATCTGGAAGACGGCCACTCGCAGATAATTGGGATCACAGCTGGATCGCATCAAATAGCAATAATTGGCATTGATAGTACTGAGAGATAGCTAGCACAAGTATCTCCCCCATTTTACAGAGGGGGGAAACTGAAGCCCAAAGAGGCATGGGGACTTGCCAACATTATACAATGAGGGAGCAGTAGAGCAATGATTCAAACTCGAGTCTCCAGATCCTAAATCCAGTGTTTTTTTTCCAAAACAACTAGAGTGACACCTTATTTAAACACCTCTTTACAATCTATAAAAGTACTTTATATATATTCTCTCATCTTATCTCACAACCCTGTGAGATAAATATTATGGGTGTTACTGTCTCCCATTTTACAGATGAGGAAACTGAGACTCAAAAAGACTTGAGTTTAGATCTGGCCTCAGATATTTACTAGCTGTGTGATCCTAGGCAAGTTATTTAACCTCTGTTTGCCTCAACTCCCTTATCTGTAAAATGGGGATATTAAAGGCATTTACTTCCCAGGGTTGTTGGGAAGATCAAATGTATAATTGTAAAGCACTTAGTACAGTGTCTAGTCCATAGTGTTACATAAATGTTAGCTATTATTATTACTTGTAAAGCAGTTAGCACCATGCCTGACACATGGTATGTGTTTAATAAATGCTTCTTCCCTTCCCAATTTATGGGATCTCTTCCAGAGCCCCAGGTCATCACATGTGGATGAGGTGGGCACTGAGCTTCAGGGAAATTCTATAACCTCCCAGCCCCAACTTGTTCTCACTCTTGGGCCTCACCAGGCAACTTAGGTTTAAAAAAAAAAAGCCTACTCAGCTCCCCAA